TCGGCAAATATAACTGCTTATTCAAGTTAAGAAAACGTCGCGAAACTATGCAGAACAATCCTGTACTGCAATCGCCGCTTCATCTGATAACAGCGTCCTGTAAAGTGCCACAGATATTTAGAAAGGAACATTATTAGAGGGGTAGCTGGGTTTACGCAGCCACTTCAGCCGCGCACAGAAAGCAGATGACTTTCCCATTAAACCCTGGCTGGGCACAGACATGCTTCCTGGTTTCCTGCGTATGAAGGACATCTTTACATGCTACTGTGCATAATGACCTCATGGCGCAAATGAAAACTTTCAAATCTCCGATCTTATCAACTTTTCTCCCCGGATCAGTCGCCATGATATAAATACTTTTTTTAACCTCACTAGAGAAAAAATGTACTGCGGTATAACTAGGCCAAAACTTTTCTGTTGCAGCTAAAATATGCGCGTAAATGGAAACTCGCCAGCGTTGATGCCAGTACAATAGAAATCTAATTCGTTCATAGCAGTCGGACACTGATACTGCAACAGGGATAACAAAGGATCCGGCAGCGGAGAAGTCGTAAAAAACAAAACTTACCAATCAAACCTCCCACCAGGAACGAAAACACTTGAAATAGGAGCAGAATGACTCCGGCGATCACCAGCTTCTTCGTGCTCATGTTTTCGATAATTGCCCCGGCCATGTTTAAAGTTTGCTGAAACCTCGCAGTTAACAGAAATAAGGGCTAATGGAAGAGAAAAGTGGCCGCATCCAGCCACCCCGGATCCCGAGAATGATTGCGGCGACTCTCTACTGCCTTCCAGCTTTCTGTAGGTGAACTATAGAGGAAAAAGGATCATCACATGACCGCCGTATGGGGCGAGCCGCGCTTCACACTTTCTGCCCTTTTAAACCTTCGCCGATGGAGAATCAAGCCACGTTTCTTCTCTTTTTATGGACAGGTTCTCCGTTTAACGCCCCATGGCGATGTCATGGCTCAGTGTGATACTGTAGATCTACCATTAGCTGTAGGCGGCATGCTCCCCGTGTTTGATCTCTATACCAGAGCTGTACGACATGAATACATGGGACAGTGAATGTGAAGCTTATTTTATGATGTCCGAATGCGTTTGTTTTTTTATCATTTATGAAATGCTCCGATGCACTGTGATAAATTTCCTTCTCCATGTGATCTTCGTCCTGCCACTCTTTAAATATAGAGTAAGAGCCTTTCGAAGAAGCCCTCTAATGGTATTCGTGCCTAAAATTAAGCGGAAACATGAATTTTTCAGATGCCGGAGGCTTGCAGGGTTGTGCTTTTGTCTGAGTATTTCACAAAAAAATGCAGCAATAATTCACACAGCGTCTTTGACTCTGAAGCTGTATCGCCGTTGGGACATATAACAGCGTTAATATTTGAAGTCCATCATTTTAGCTGGTCGCAATGTCGCAGAAAGTTCAGATGGATGTAGCATTTCTTTCATTTAAAATGCATGATTAACATACCAATTAATTTCTCATCTGCCATTCCGATTACTTAAGTTTGTTTTCAGGCCCTCAATCTGCCAAATTTTCACTTACAGCACAAATAGTGTAACAGAGCAGCTGTAACTAAATATTGAAATATATATATATATATTTAACATTACCAGTCAAAAGTTTTTGCACACACAGATTTTCTACATGCACATGTCACTCAATTAACATTTACTTAAAAATACACTCAGTATTCTTTGCTAACAGATAAATGTATGATGTGTTCACCATTTGAGTAATTTATTAGCAAGAAAATGTCATATCTTTGATTCATCAAAGAAACCTCCACTGGCAGATATAACAGCAGAGAAAATTCGAGACATTCTTTCTAGAAGAGACATTAAATACTGCTCTGATTCGTGGGATGAAACAGGTAACTAGTACATTTAAAACTGAAGGACAGCCTAGAATTTCACTACCGGTAAGCAATCACCGCACAGTTAGTAGGATGTCAGGCATACACTGATACATACTCTTTCCATGTTAAAAAGGATTTGTTTTTATTTGACTTATATTTTCACTTATGCTTCATTTATATCATTAGACTTCCCAGTGCTTAACATCCATAAAAACATCTGCAGTTTATGAAATAAATGGAAAAATGGTAAAACAAGAACTTCTGACTAGTAGTGCATATATTAATGATTCGGTAATTAGTGTTAACACCACAGTGGCACTGACTAGGATTTAAATGTTTAAATATAGCAGTTTAAATGTTTTTCCCCTACAGAAGACAATGTTTATCGGCCGCTGTGTGTGTTTCAGAAACCCTGCTGGTCAAAAATATTTGACCAGCAGTATCTATACTCACGTAATGGAGTTATGTACTTTGTCTACCACTGGATGTAGGTTTGGTGTCAATATCGGTTAGGAGCCAAATCACGCCCAAGCCTCAACCCCCCCCGAAACACTGGGTACTCCCACAGTATTGGTAGTGACATGGCTATACCCAAATCTATGCCCTTGGATTAGGGACTGTAAGATCAATGGCTGCTAAATCACAGATGCTGATATTTATGTAGCTGATAATATAGTACAAACTAAGTACAAACTGTTGTGCTTATGGACGTGTAACTGAGAATACTGTAACTTTTCAGTACCTTTTTTCAGTATTAGCAGGACTAATATTGCAATGAAACATTGTAATACCGCGAGCAGGTATATGCACGCGAGGGTAGTTATTCATTTACACTCTTTATGTCTCTGCCAGTGTGTTTAATGACTCACCTGTACTCACCTTCACGCACTGCAGGTGCGCGGAAAGATTGGCTGGCCTGGAAGTTCCGTGCAGTATGCGGTGCTTCTGCTCTCTTCACCAAGTAATTTAAAAAATGCATTAAAAGCGTTTTATAATCAGCCTGTTTATTCATTTTTTACATTGATTATCGAAACTGGATGTTCTGCATTTGTCAATTAATTCTTTAAAACGTTCTTTATTGTCATTTTATTTCAGTTCATTATCGCTACCTCACGTGCATTTTTATTTGAATTTAAGCAGGGTAAAATCAGGCTACATTAGGCCTACATTCATCTGACGGCCTAGATTGCTGCGGTAAGTAATTTTTAGTAGTTGATTGCATGGTTATCGATAAACAAATTCACTATTAAACAACACAGAAACTCACAAATCACAAGTTAAAATTCATTTTATTTTTTACAAGGTTGTTTTCCGCTGCTTTCGCCTTAACAGGACATTTACACTGAGGTGTAAATAAGCGCCCCTTTCTTCCATTTGGCAAAAACAGGCATACTTATTTGTTTTGTGTCCATGTCTGCCGGTGCAGTGAACTGAAAGTGTAGTTCTGGTTTCTCTCTCAGGCCATTGAAAGCCTTGGGATTCCTTGGCGCACACGGAGGCCACCAGAACCACTGGAATGCGGCAGTGATTAATACCCCGCCGCCCCCCAGCGCTAATTCAGCGCATTCTGCTGCGCTCACCTGCTGCGCTCCTCAATGGACGGAGCTCAATGGGCCTCGATATGCGTCCCTCTTCTTCCAAAGCGGCTGCCGTGGCCATGTCCTTCCATGGATCGGAAAAGCCGCAATTCTTTGCGCAGTGACGATTTGCCTGCGGCCTTATCAGTCATACAGCAGAAAAAACAAGCTTACAGCCACCGAGGGTCGGAAGCTGCAAAGACGAACCGTGGAAGATTCACCAGTCGAAACAGAATGCAAATTGTGGTACACAGTGCAATATTTATATTCTAGTGACAAATTCAAGATCTCTCAAATTATTAAGATGCACTTTGTAAATTCTGGATTTTTTTATATTCAGCTCTATTTTTAAATAGAATTATAGTTCATATTTAATTAAAAAACCGTTTACAAAATGGGTAATGGAAACATTTTTAAAATCTATGATGGAGCATGAAAAACATGGGAGGTAATATTTTGAAATTAGAAAATGTTTCTCTTCTGCATGTCAGACAGGCTGCGAAGACACTGATTCTGCCGTGTGGTTATAGGGGCTGGTGACTCAAACGGTGATTTTTTAATCCGTATACAGTTGAAAGTTGCGTGTAGCCTGCTGTCGACAATTGACGTAGCCTAAAATAACTGAGGCGACTGCTGGCAGTACGGAGCATTTCCGAATAAACTGCACTTAATTCGGGACAGTGAACATTTGCATTAGTCATAGAGCTAAGTCTTGATTTTTCAGTTGGTTTATCAGCAATGAAACTCCTGCTAATTACATATAATCATTTGATAGACTATTATATTTTTTCGGTTGATATTGTAATATTCAGGTCGACTCATGAAGTGTAATTAAATTAGTAGTCTTTTGTTGCAGTTCCAGTGTTCCACGATGTTTCGTTTGCATAGTTAAATAGATTAGATAGATTACATTAGATTAGACTTTATTAATCCCACAATGGGGAAATTCTTTGAGAAACAGCAGCAATAATGAAAAAAGACAGTACAAAAATAGACATCGTATTTGTCTTCAATGGAGGTTAGCATCCTGGAAGACAAGATCCAACACTGCCATCTGCTTTTCATTATTTCAGCTGTCATCAATTATTAATCTCCAGCACCAGCGCTTTGTGGTACGGAAAATGAAAAGCTTTTATCGCATCTCTGTGAAACCACTAGGGTCTGAATGGCAGCCGGACGGAGCAAAGTTCCTGTAAACTGTCCAAGTCAATTAAATGTCTCTCATTGACAATAAAGACTCACAGCGGCAACATGGCTTTTTACGTCAAGGAACTTTGAAGAATTTGAAGTTCTGGGCAACTGGGTATGGACGGATCGGCGATTTCGCCAGTGCGTTATAAAAGTAGCGCCCCCATGTGGCTGAAGCCCGGAAAACAGCATTACCGATTTTCTCAAAAATGTTCGCCCAGCTACCGACGTTAGAAATCAATGATGATTACTACTAGTGCCATTATGTTCGATTACATACAATAAAACATATGACAAACAATTACAAGGACATGAAACTTTCTGTATTATGCGAGCATATCTGAGATCCACCATGGTCATTGGCTTCAAGTACAATTGCATAAATCATTTTATTCAAGTCCACAATGTATCTCACTTACCCTAATCCAAGCCATGATGCACTCACAGACATGCATTATCAAAATACACAAAATTCATATTGATCTGTTTCATCTCATTTTCAACACCGAAAAGTATTTACCTCGCCTTAAAACATACATCAAAAATAAGTAAAATGTCCATGTTATAAAACATCAATTTTATTGCTCAGAGTACAGCTTGTGAAGAGGCATTGGGAACAGGCATTGCAGCAAGTCGTCACCGGGTGTTTCTGGTCATATCGATGCGTCTTAACATCACCTCTTAAACAGGATGTGCCCAAACACTTCTGCGATATGAAACGTACATTCTGCTTCTATGTGGCTATACAATGGGCCGCATTTGGCCCAGACGACGCACCTTAACAGTTCCACTCCTTCACATGTGAAACTTCCTGTCACTAAATTTTCATCTATCTTTGGTTCTGCAATACAAAGTGTACATCCTATGTTGTTTAGGTTTATTACTGCAATACTGAATTGAGAGGGGCAGCTAAACCCTACATATACAATGATGACTTGGAAATTCATAAGTCACATTTTAATTGTATTTTATTTTATTATTTTTTTTTACAAAAAAGGAAAAAAAAAAACTGGAAAACACCCCCTTTTCAATAAGAATGTCTTGTTGCACCAGTTAATACAATTTAAAGCAAAAACAAAAAGAGAGCAGGGGCAACATTTGCAGGCCAGTGTCCTCCCACACTAAGCACTTACCCAACATTCAAGAGTATCTTCTAGTCTTAAAATGAGTGTCGAATTATCCTTCAACGTGACAATTCAACAAAAAACTGCACCAAGTATTGATAAAGTAGAGGGGAAAAGGAATCAAAACTGACCATAATTTCAAAACTGGTGTCAACCACATGGGGTGGGATGCGGGGGACCAGAGAGAAACTCCGGAAGAACGAACAGTAACAGAAAAGCCCTTGGAGCTAAAGCAGACAAGGCAGTTTGGACTAAGACAAAAAAAAAAACAGTAGAGATGGCAGGTCCCAACACTGGCGGACTCTCCGGCCAAGCCACGGGCTCGGGGGGCCCGGACCGCGGCGGCGACCTCGCTGGCTAGGGGCGGGGCAGCCTGGGGGCCAGGTCACATGTCATCTTCATCCTCTTCCTGAGAGGAGCCGGCCTGCTGGGCAGCGCTGGCCGAGGCTGCAGCCAGCTGTGCCTGCTGGGCTGCTTGCTGCATCTGTAGCCACTCCTGCTGAGCCAACTCGGCCTGCTGCTGCCGGGCCTAAAACACATACACACATGGGTCCGTGTGAAGGCACCGCAATCAAACACCACCTCACACACATTTACAACCTCATTTCCCTCACCAAACCCAGACATGCTACGCTGAGACTGAGTTGAAATGGTACAGATTTACACCGGTACATAAACACTAACTCATGCATGGTTCCCTCAGCAGAGAGACAAGCCAGACCGTTCCCCAGACCACCAGGAGAAGATACTTCAGTTCACAGGCTTTACCTTGGCAAATAGCTCTTGCTGCTGTCTGAGGAGCTCTTCCTCGGGAATACCGAGGTTTTCAAGACGAGAGCTGGCCTTCCTTCGCTTAAGTGCTACTGTTTTACACTCTTGTAAGACATCCTTCACCTCAGCGATGTAGGATGCAAAGCCCAGGCTTTCAAGTGCTGCAGGAAAAAAAAAACAAATTATGAAGAGCTATTTGGGGGGAAGGGGGGATATAAGGGGCACACGGCCTTTCACATGCATGGTGGGAAATGCGCTGTTACTAACAATCTATCAGTTTGACAACATAGATTTATAAAAAAATTAAGATGTGAGCATGAGGACAGTATGCCCTGTGTTTGGGTTGCCATGTCCGCTGCATGCCCTTACCGTTTATAACATGCTCCGGGGAGATGGTTTTCTTCTCAGACTTGTTGCAGATTTCGTTCGCTTCAGAGGAGATAAGGTGGATGAACTCAGTGCAACAATTCACCACGAGTTCCCGGGCATCGTTGGCCACCCGCACGTTTGGGAGAGTCTCCTTGATCATTTTGTTAATGGCCGCCCGGGGTATCGTGAGATCGTCGTCGTTTCCCGACGAAGAAGCCATTATGGTTTTATTTTAATAATGATAAAAAACAGAGATCCTTCTGTGATTCCTTCGGACAGCGGCTCAGCTGGATGCCGGAACGCCTCTGCGGCGGCCTAGAGAGTCAGACTTGCCGGCTTCACCCCCGCAATTACGGCGGAACTCCGAAAATCAAACAATAGGCGTAAATAAACGCTAAAAAGCAAACCTGCGATGCCGTGTAAGGAAAGCAATTCGTCGGGAAGATACCGAAAAAAGGAAACGAAGCAAGGCGGCGCGGTTACAGACAGTGTCACTCAGTGTGTTTTTTGTTGTGTGGACATGAGCAGCTAACAAGCTAACGTGTAGCCAACGTTAGCTACAGCAACCAGCGCCCACTGCATTTTCCAACTCACCATTTAACGGAATGTGGCGCTTCACTCGACATTTTATGACCGTTACTGAAATTCCTAAACTGAAAAATTCTCCCAACGGAAAAAGTTATTCAGTTCATTCCACCGCTTGGTACGCTCCCCAAAGCGATGGAGCAGGATCTGACCTCAGCGGATGCGACCTCCCTTCACGTCACTCGACAGTCATTCTACTTCCGGTATAGATTTGCGGCGCATGCGTACTTCCAACTGCACTGCTTTTGCAAGATTTGTGCATAAAGCTCGAGCATCCAACCCATTTGACGTCTTTTAACAGATTATCCTGGTCATGGCGTAGAACATATCCCAGGCAGCATAGGACACAAGTATGGCATTCCAAAAATCGCAATAAAAAGTAAAAAAGAGTGATTTGGATCTTTTAAATCACATTTTTAAGAGGTGGTTCATTTTCAATTATGAGTTCAAAATGAAGAATGTTTCTGAGGTCTGAGTTTTCTGCAGATGTGTTTAATTTAGGTTACAGGGACACTAGCTGTTCAGTTACTCACTACCAGCTAGTTATTTTCTAAATTGTTGATCTAGGTTGGGATTGGTGTCAAAGACTTTTGCTGAACTGAACTGTCATTGTGTCACTCTTCCACTGTACTCATGTGTTTTTGGGGTGCTGGTGTTTGGGTATGCCTCATGCCTGTGTGCCCATCTGCCATACCTGGTCTTGATGGTGCTTCCAGCGAGGTCCTCACCTTGCTGTCTTGCATTGTCACTCTTCCACATTTGCTCAGTTACCGCTCTCAGTTGCAAACACAAGGGAGCCCCCTGCCTGCCCAACGGCATGTCTGTGCTATAAAAGTCAGATTCATACCCATGCTGTGGGTTTTATTCCAGAAATAAAACCAAAAATATGTTGTGCCTGTCAGAATTAGCGAGGGGGGAAATTTATAGAGAGAGCAAATGCCTCTTGGAACAATATGTCAGGAATTTGCAAATGGTATTTACTTATGTAACTCAGAATTTATAATTTAGGTATCCATTGGAAACATGTTAGAAAGCACTTCAGAGATACAGGAAATGACAAGGGGTGTGGAATAACAGCCATGGTGCTCCACCCAGTATGACACCCTTGATGCTGATTGGTAGACTAACTGGTGCCTCAAAGGAAGGGCGTCACCATCCCCAACTGCATCTGGAAGGGGGCCTTACTGGACACATGCTCACCCTACCTGACAGTCAATTCGCAGTAGATGCCTTAAAAACAGCACAACTTCATAAAAGGTTGAAACCCTCGGGAAATTTTTCTTGGTGTATTGAGCCTTGTTAATCATTTAATAGCATATCAAAGCAAAAAGGTGTGAAACATGTTCTGGTTTAACTCAATTATCAAGGCACTTAAAAAAAAATCCTTAAATGATGGTGCCACTACAAAATGCAGAGCTAAAATGTTAAATATACTACTGTAGTCATTTTTGCTTATGAATGAGAATGACGAAACACAAGCTCATTTTGAAAATCCAAAACGTTTAATAAAAACCAATCGGTGTTCAGTTCCAAAGGCCACTGGATAAAACTATAAAATTAACTAATCTATCAATATTGGACCCACGTTAAATATCTCAGCAGCAGCTGCGAGCATTATTGAGTTTAAGGCTTAGAAGTGCACCAGAAGATTTGCATATATAGGCAGTAACTGAGTATTTAAAAGGTTAGTTTTACAAAGTTGCTATTTTGGCTGCAATGGAGCCGAGTCAAACCTTTCACACTATAGGGTCCCAGTTAAGGAAAGGCCCTTCGTACCCACTCTTTTGTGGAAAGCAGGTTCTAAGGCAAGTACAGAAATACATTTGGACAGACGCGTAGCAGGTCAGCCCTGGCTGGCACATTAGGGACTGCATTTACTGTGTAATTGCATCGACACAAAGCAGCCGCAGAGACTCGGGTTCCGCAGAGTCTAGAACTTGGCCCGTATGCGGTCCAGCGGGTCTGAGTCCCACATGGTGGGATCCCAGGCCTGAAACCAGCCGGTGAAGGTGGGCGGCTCGGCGCCCTGCTTGATGGTGACGATGGGCACTCCCCGACGTCCCGACGGGTCAGTGGTCACGTACTCTTCAGCTGAAAATCAGACACAATAAACGTGATCCAAAGCAGTTCGGCTCCCCGCTCATCCCGAGAAAGAGCCGGAAGACGGCATCATACTCATACCGATTTTAGGTGATCCAGTCTTCTCGACCTCGTTCGCTTCGTTGCCAATCCAAAGGAAGATCTAGGAATGGGAGAATGGGGGGCAAATTTGTGTGTAGTGAATTGCTGATCCTGCAGCAGTGCGACAGTTTAGTACACTGGTGCTCCAGCTTACCTGGTCCCAGGTGTCCAGTAACATGACATCGTCATGGGCGAGGTCAGCCTGAGTGAAGTCTCCAGGAACCTCCTCTGCCTGGAAGACGGGCCGGGTGAGAGAGAAAGGGTCACGACTAGGGATGCTCCTTTTGACCGTTTAACCGTTAACCGAAATAATTAATTTTGAGTGAATGTTGCTATCAGTTAAACGGTTTAAAATGTTTTTATATATATTTTAATTATTAGTAGTAGTATGAAGTTTTGTGGCATCTCAGCTGAAGATCGCTTTTCACGTT